TTTGGTCTATTTGGAGTTGGCTTTTGTGCAGGGTGATATGTATAGGCTAATTTCACTCTTCTGCACATGGAGATCCAATTTTGCCAGCACCATTTGTTGAGGACGCTGTCTTTCTTCAAGTGTGTGTTCTTATCACCTTTGTCAAATATCAAGTGGCTGTAATTGCGTACACTAATGTTTGGGCCATCTATTTTATTTCATTCATCTATATGTCTGTTTTTGTGCCAGTATCATGTTGTTTTTATGAATATAGCTCTGCATTATGGATTGAGGTCTGATATGGTAATCCCCCAGCATTGTACTTTGTGCTCAGAATTGCTTTGGCTATTCAGGGTCTTTGGTGTTTCCTTATGAAGTTTAGGGTGGATTTTCTATTTCTGTGAAGACTGTCTTGGGGATTTTTATTGGGATTGCATTGAATCTGTAAATTGCTTTTGGTAAGATGGTCATTTTCACTAAATTAACTCTACCAATCCATGAGCATGGGAGGTCTTTCCATCCCCTTGTGTCTTCCTCAATCTCTTTCTTCAAAGACTTAAAGATTTTCCTTGAAAAAAATTCTTTAATATCTTTGGTTAGGTTTATCCCTATTTTATTTTTTAATATTTTATTTTGTTTATTGTTTTTATTTTATGTGTATGAGTGTATTACCCGCATGTATGTGAGTGCACACGTATCGTGCAGTGCCATGGAAGTCAGAAGAGGGCTTCGGATTCCCACGGTTCATAGTCACCATGTGGGTGCTGGGAATTGAACCTGGGTCCTCTGCAAGAGTAGTCAGTGCTCTTAACCACTGAGCCATCTCTCTAGCCCCGATATTTTATTTTTTGAGACCATTATGAATGAAAGTATTTCCCTGAACTCTTTTTCTGATTGCTTGGTATTGATATGTAGAAAGCCTACTGATTTTTGTAGATTGATTTTGTAACCTGCCACTTTGCTGAAAATATTGATTATTTCTAGAAGTTTTCTGGTGAGAATTTTTGGGATCTCTTAAATATATCATCTGAAAATAGGGACAATTTGGCCTCTTCTTTTCCAATTAGTGGTCCTTTAATTTCCTTCTCTTGTCTTATTGCTCTAGCTAGAGTTTCAAGCACTATATGGAAAAGGAGTGAGGACAGCAGGTAGCCTTGTCCAATTCCCAATTTTAATGGGAATGCCTCAAGTTTTTCTCCATTTAGAATGATGTTGATTGTGGGTTTGTTGTATATAGCTTTAATTATGTTGAGGTACGTTCCCTCCAGTCCAATTTCCTCTATGACTTTTATCATAAATGCATGTTGGATTTTGTTAAAGGCTTTTTCTGTGCCTATTGAGATGACCATGTGATTTTTGTATTTAAGTCTATTTATAGAATGTTTTACGTTTATTGACTTACCTATATTAAACTATCCCTACATCTCTGGAATGAAGCCTACTTGATCACGATGGATAATATTTTTGGTGTGCATCTATATGTGATTTGCTAGTATTTTGTTGAGAATTTTTGTATCTGTGTACATTAGGCTTATGGGCCTATAGATTTCTTTTTTTGTGAGTGTCTTTTCCTGTTTTATTGTGTATTAGAGTAATACTGGCATCATAAAAGGGTTTGGGAGTTCTCCCTCTGTTTCTACCTTTTTGAATAATTTAAGTAATATTAGTTGTAGATCTTCTTTGAAGGTCTGGTAAAATTCTGCTGTGAATCCATCTGGGCCTGAGCTTGTTTTAGTCAGGAGGCTTTGTATTACTGTTTTCAATATCCTTATTTGTTATGCATCTGTTTAAGCTGTTGATTTCTTCTTAATGTTGGTGGTTTCAATGAATTTAGAAATTCATTTCTTTTAGATTTTCAAATTTAACTGAGTATATGTTTTTAAAATATTCCCTTATAATGTTCTGGATCTTTGGGGTGTCTGTTGTGATGTTTCCCCTTTCGGCTCTGATTTTGTTGATTTGGATTTGCTCTTTCTTTTGGTTAACTGGATTAAGAGTCTATCTATCTTGTTTATCGTTTTTAAATAATCAGCTCTTAGATTTGTTGATTCTTTGTTTTGTTTTCTTTGTTTCTATTTCACTGATTTCTCCTTTGACTTTTGTTATTTCTTCTCATCTGATGGATTTGCATTTGGTTTGTTCTTGACTTTCCAGATTCTTGAGTTATTCTATTAAGTCATTTACTTGTGCTCTTTCTAATTTTCTGCTGTAGGTGCTTAGAGCTATGACCTTCCCTCTTAGAACTCCTTTTGATGTGTCCAGAGGTTTTGTTGTGCTGTATTATTATTTTTGTTTCAGTCCAGGAATGCTTTTAGAGAAATGAGAAGTTTATTAAACTTTCTATATCTGGTTTTCAAGTCTCTTGTGGTTTCATTCATGACTTCCATCTCTTTGAGGTTTTACAATTCACTTTTGTTAGATATCCCTCTCATTTGCAAAAAAAAAATGAATAGTGTTTTCTGGTACAAAAATAGTGCTGAAATAATTTGTTGCAGAATGAATAAGCTTGTCCTTTAAGAGGCAAGTCAAGATGTCACAGTGACTATGATTTCTTTCCATGTCATTATTAAATTCTTGATTTATAAATCATGTTTTATAGGTGCAAAAATCCTTTTACATTGAATTGTACTGTTTATATCACTTTCAGAGCTTTCTCTCCAAATTAATGGCTGTTTAGGGAGCTAAAGATAGGCTAAGATAAATTGTAATTAGGCTCTTGATCTGCATTATCCCAAACTCTTCACAATCATTGAAGTTGTGATCAGTTGATCAACCTTGAAGAAGGTTCAGGTTGAAGATGCAGAGTTTTTCTGAGGAGGCTTGTGAGGGGCAGAAGAGAATGTTCTTTCTGAGCTGACAAAACAATGCCTAAACTCTTCAAAGTAAACTCTTGATTTAAGAAAATGTTCAGATGGTGAGGCGGCTCACTAGGTAAAAGCACTTGCCACAAGGGCCTGATGACCTGAGTTCTAGCCTCAGAAATCACAGAACACACCACGGAAGGAGAGAACCAACTCCCAAAACTTGTTCTCTAACCTCCACACTTTCTCAAAATTATCCCTTGACTTCCTGGTAGATGGAGGACCTGTCGCCTAAAGACAGTGCTGCTTTAAGAGACAAAGCAGTCCTGGAGAGCTTCAACTACTCCTCCCAGCAACCACTGCCCATATTGTTGGCAACTGTATGTTAACAAATGCTCTCATCTTTGTTGCTACAAATAATCCCAGCCTCACTGCTACCAAGGGCCAAGGCAATTTTGAATTACAGCCCACTTCTTATCAGTGCCTTCTTGAATTCCAGATCAGGGTACCTACCCCATCAGGGAAACAATTAAGATTCTCTTTTGTTCTCCGGACTCTTCCTTCAATTGCGATCTGTGAGGAGTTTTCACTGTAGTGTCCAGCATTACTAAAGGACCTGTTTACCTGAAATATGTCTTAATGCCTGTCTGTTTTTGAATCATCACTGAGTGACATGAGTGGACCTGCAGACAGACAGACAGACAGACATTCACATACACACACACACACACACACACACACACACACATCTAAAATGGGGGGGTATATATATGTATGAGAAAAATTTAAAAATAAAATGTGAATGCCATCCCTGACACATGTGTCCTCATTGTTTACAGCCTGGAAAAATCCAGTTCCACTCAACCCTTTGAATTCACTGATCCCTTGAACTGCCAGCCAGGTGAATGGAAGAAAGCAGTTACACTGATGTGACTGATACTAGTTAACTGACAGTCATACAGTGATTTTCCCAAATAACTGGCTTCACTTTAGATGTGTGTTGGGGATAACTCCCATCTTTTTCTAAAACAGAAGAAAACCATTTGCACACTGCCCGTATTTTTACCCTTGTAGTTTTTAGCCTTGCTGGCACCAATGATCATATATAAACAACAGAAATAGAAGGCTTTCTTAAAGTATACTGACAGTGATAAATACAAGATGACACAAAACAGAAAACACTTTCCAAAATACCTCAGCTACTGGCGCGATCCTTCCTGTGGCCTGTCCACCTCTGGTGGGCCTTGTGAGGTTCACTGGGCCAGCCAAACACCAAGGAGAATAACGAGGAGTTTGTCAAAGCAAAACCACAAGGTCACATTGAAAGTACTCAAGATTTTTTTGATTGTTTAAAATCTACCTCCCTAAAAGGAGATTAAAATGGGAAGAAATTTGGGAATATAAATGAAAACTTTGACCTCAGAATGTATATTTTGGTTTTTGAGTAAACATAACTCACTCCTTTTGTCCCAAAGAAATGAACAGGGATTTCATTTTGTTCCGAGAAGTCAAGTTTGTGGAATTAAAAAAAAAGTAATAAAAGTAAAACAAATAATGAATGTGTGGTGCTGAGTGTTAACTGTCGAGATGCAGAGGCTGGCGTGTTTTTAGAGAGAGCTCCTTTGATTATAACCATCGCTAAATCTGCTGCAGGACAGAACATTACAGGAGACAGTCCCTCAGCAGTCTGTACCTACAGTTCTCGCCCACTTCCCCTGCTGCCCTGTGACGACCGTGAAGTCATGAAAACCATCCCCTTCCCTAACCATCACACAGAACCAGGGTGTGCACTGACCAAGCTGACAGGACACTGGACATCCCAGTTGGATGTGGTGTGGCAGCTTTAAAATCTTCTGCCTCTTGTGACTATCAAGGCATGCACCTCCTGGGAGGCGCTGCTGTTCAAAATTGCCCATATTAAATGAGGTTTCTGAGGTTCCCTTCTTCACTCCTTCCAATGTTCTAGTGAACATCTGTTCCATTCACTAACTCTGTTATAAGCCAGGCTCATGTCTCCAAGTTATGCTCAGGCCACAGCAAAGTTGGTGGCCACACAACATTGGAAGGGGTCCCAGTACCTCAGCCTATGATGCACTAGGCTTGTAGGGGGTACATCAACCAACAGGAATGACCCGGTCTGACAACATGACTGCCTTCAACTCATGGAACCACCCCAAAGACCAGCTTTTAACCCAGTTCTTGTTTTCTTTCTCATACTAGATGGATGGAGTGGAACCCTGGCTTCCCTTTGAGTATTGATGCCAAATGCCACAAAGATTTACCCCGAGATATCCAGTTTGACAGTGAAAAAGGAGTGGACTTTGTTCTAAACTATTCAAAGGCGTAAGTTTCAAGAACTTCAGTAGCTGGGGATGGGATAGGACCTTCGCTCCTTTCCTTTGGGGTCCTTGGACTAGGGGAGCAGTTCAGCTTGAGCACTATCCCCAATGTGTTTGAGTGTGTCCGGGCCAGGGATAGATCCTCACTGCACAACCAAGGTTGATCTGTATCTAAACAGCCTTGACCTGGAGCTCTTCCAACGCTACTAACACTGTGCTGCTCTCAGCCCAAAGCAGGGTCTGTACTTGCAGTGCCCCATCACCACTGCTAATGCATCTCTCTGTGGCCAGTCTGCCGTTAGACAGTGTCCAGACTGTCACCAAATGAAGTCTTATAGTGACAAGGACCAGAATGCCGGTGCTGGTCCCATGATATGGATCACCTGTTCATCCATCTTAATGATCCAATGAGGTGGATACATATTGCCCCCACTTTGCAGTAGAGGAACCTAAGGAGTAATGAGATTGAGTACCTTGCTTGAGGCCTTTGTTAATAAGCAGAGGAGACATTGAATTCTGCTGTGTGTTTGCATTAGAGTCACTGAAGAGTGTTGCTGCAATCTTGAGACTGTTAAAAATACCCGTTAAAAATATGGATCCCTCAACCCCACACCGTGGTTAGCAGAGATACCTTTGGATTGGCCTTTAGGCTACTCTTATAATCAAACAAATCTAGAAAACCCTAAACCCATGAAGGCTGACTGAGTCTTCGACTCCCCTGGGGACCTTTAGCATTTCCTAGTGTCAGGCTTACTATATATCCATGGACAAGAGTCTCTGAGAGTAGGACCTAGCCTCTATCTGCACACTTGGGCAGCCAGGGCTGAGAACCTCTAGTCAGGCTCCTTAATCTGGATGCTTTTTCGTATAATCATTCTTTCAAAGTTTCATAACGATTATCTACCACTTCTAGGTGAGGAAACCAATAGTCCAGTGGGTCAAGGTCAAAGAATTTACCCAAGGGCATTAAGGCAGACACTACAAAAATTGGGATTTAAATCCAGGTCTGTTTGGGTCCAAAGCTGAGGCCTGTTTCCCCTACTATAATTAGAATCAACCAATGAGAACAAATGAAATCATGTAGAATTGCAAACTGAAGCAATACCCAACATCTGGCTCTCTGGCAGTTCACCATAGGACTGGCATTGTTAAGTATAGAAGGGCAGACCCTGTACCAGGATGAAACAAGCAGGGCAGGCAGCTCTTGTAAAAGGAGAAGTTTTCAGGGAGAATCATAAAGATGGAGAGGCCATGAGGAAACAGTATGGCCTCTGGGGGAGTGGTGCCACTTAGGCTTAGTGTTGGTAGATGGTAGATCAATGGATAGGTGATGGATTGATAGGGAGAGGAAGGGATAGAGGGAGGAAGAAAAAAAGAGGAAGGGCAGGAGAATTAAGGTGCCTGTGTCTACTCAGTGCTCCTCAAAATGTCGTCATCTTTGTATCACAAGGGCTTCTCAGCAGCTGCCACAGATGTGCTCAGTCAAACTGTCAAAGTAAACCATGACCAGTGGCCACTGAGGGGCCACTGTTGCCACCTCACCAGGGGATAGGCATACACACAACGCAGTTCTCTTCCCTAGCTCACGCATCACCACGGGGGCAACATGGCCTACAGGAACTGTGGTGGGAGTTTGCAAAGGTGTACTTAGGCCACTGATGGTGGAACCAAGCTGGTTGTGAAATTTCCTGGTGACTTCAAGGGAGAAGCAGTTTGCATGTGTTTACTGCCCAAGCTGTTTGCAGCCTAGGACTCAACCATAGGGTTGGTGAGGCTCTAGGGACCATCTTCTTTAAAGGAAGTTGAGAAAGAATTTTTTTCATGCAGAATGGGACTGAGCACTGAGGTGTGATGAGGGTGTCAGAGCCTCACACACAGACTGGCAAAAAGTGCCCTGCAAGGCTCACCTGGGGTAGGTCCTTGTCCCTGACACGATAGAGCACCTTACCTATACCATAGCCATCCTGGGAAGGCCAAGCTGTTACTAGAAGCTGCAGTGAACGTACGTGACATCAGGATTCTGAATGATCTCAAATAGGGAAATGTATTTGTGACCACTGGCAATGGAATTAAAACTGTGTTGGGGAAGCTTGACCTGGCAGAGTATGTAGGTCAGTTTAGAAGCCGGGTGGGGAAAAGGCCTTGTTCTGGTTTGTTTCTTCACTGCTGTGACAAAATACTCTGACCAATACCAACTTGGGGAGGAAACGGTTTATTCAGCTTACAACTCCCAGGTCACAGTTCATCAGGGAGCCCAAGGTAGGAACTCAGGGCAGGAACCTGGAGGCAGGAGCTGGAACACAGGCCAGGGAGGAACACTGCTTACTGGCTTGCTCCCCTGGCCCCTGCTCAGCCTGCCTTATGCAACACAGGCCCACCTGCCCAGGCGTGGCACCACCCACAGTGGGCTGGGCCCTCCGACACCACTCATCAAGAAGATGCCCCTCAGACATGGCCACAGGCCAGTCCAATAGAGGCAATTCCCCAATTGAGGCTCCCTCAACTCAGGTGTCAAGTTGACACTAAAGCTATCCAGTACAGGTCTCTTGATGACAGATTGGGGAACAGGGAGGATCCTGGTATAGCATGGGTAGAACTGGGGTCCAGATAGAATCTGAGTGAAAAGAAGAGGCTAGGGTGAGACCCCAAGACGTCTTCAGTTCTGTGCATTGTGCTTGTAGGAGGACATGGGCAGTCATGGGTGGGAAGAGAAGCTTGGTGGGAAGAAGTGTGAAGTGGGAGAGGAGCCCAGTTTGAGATACATGAAGGCTGAGAGCTCTGTGTGCCCCTGGTGATGAGGTCCAAGGTCCCGTGGGGCATGCAGGCTAAGTTAAAAAGGTGCAACTAGCTTTGAGGATTCAACAGTGTTCGGCAGTAGATGGACAGGGGAGATGGGTTGGGGGTAGGACACAGTGTAGTCTGACAGCCACAATCTTACCACCCCTGCCCCAGCACCATGGGCAGGCCATCTGCTGCGTGCTGAGGAGAACAAAGTTAGTGTTCAGTTGGCCCTTCCTATCTGACGGGTACAAATACACAGCTTCAACTAACTGTGACTTGGAAATGTTTGAAAAACATCAACTGCATCTGTAGTGAACATTTCTAGACTTTTCCTTCTGGTCATCATTTCCTAAACAATTCAGAATAACATCTACTTACATAACATTGGCATTGTATCAGGAACTATACAAATCTGAGATTGGCTGAAAGTACACAGGAGACTAGACTTTGGTGTCCATGGGGTGTCTTGAAGCAATCCCACAGACAGTGGACAGTTGAAGACAGCAGCTCCTAAGGGGGCATTAGTGGTAAGGGAAAGGAAAGAGGAACTCCTAAGAAAAGACTGGAGAAGGGCAGAAGCCTGAAGAGCAGAGATGGGGCCCCACGGACAGGGTGTTGCTCTAGCAGAGAAAGGAAAAGACCCACAGCCATGGGGCAGAGAGGCAGCTCAAAGGTAGGCCAGGAGCTGGGGAACCACAGAGGAATGGGGAGGAGGGACATGCGGGAAGTGTATTCACTTGGTTTTAGGAAGAAAAATCTTCAGTTTTCTATGAGGGCCCCATGCAAAGGTATTGCCACCTGGTTCAGAAACCAGTGGTCTTGGGCTACAGACCTGGTGCAGTCATTGAAGGCTAAGCTCACAACCAAAACACAAAAACCAATGGCCCCATGTTACCAAAGCACCTGTAGGCAGTAGTAGTCTCCCCTCATCTTCACAAGCACTATTCTAAAATGATGAACTTCTTGGAAATTTAAGAAAGTAACCCCCCTTGTGCTAATGTCTGTAAAACATTTGTTTGCATATCAGACTCATTTACTTTGAGTTTTGTTAGAGTCATATTCTATTGGAAAAATTAATTTGGTGGGAAAAATATAGGGGAGAGAGTATGGGCGCTCCTGGGAATTTCACTTTGATTTGCTAAGGCAGCATATTTGTTGTTGGTAAAGTGGGACATGGAAAAGAGAAAGAGTTAATACGAAGCCCCCAAGCAGAACTTCCCTTTAACAAGAGGGGCCTTGTTCAGCAGCCAGGTTAACTTGGAAGACTTGCAGTCTTCAGCAGTGGCTTTCAACCCAGACTCCACCCATCTATGGGGGATAGATCATTGCAAAGCCCCAGCGAGTAGGGTTTGGGCATTCAGATCTGTAACCCAACATTTAGGAGACTGAAGAAGGAGGGTCGTGAGTTTCTGAGCCACATAGTAAGACCCTATCTGAAAAAAAAAATCTGGGGCTGGAGAGATGGCTCAGCTGTTAAGAGCATTTGCTGTTCTTGCAAAGAACCCGGGTTTAGTTCCCAGCACCCACGTGGCAGCTCAGAATCATCTATAACTCCAGTTCCAGGGGATCTGATGCCTTCTCCTGGCCTCTTCAGACACCAGGCATGTGTGTGGTGTACATACATGCAGGCAAAACACTCATACATGTACAATTTTTTAAATCTTTTAAAAAATCTTCAGTGAATGTTTGAAATCATGGGTAGTATTGAACCCTACGCAAACCATGCCCCCCCACTGCCCATACATAACTATGATACACTTTAACCTATGATAAACTTTACCCTTATGTATGTAAACTTTACATAACTATGATAAACGCCCTATGATAAACTTTACCCTTGTCACTTAAAGAGAACATTTTGGCCTATCTGAGTGACCATCTTCACTCACTTGTGCTTTGGGACTATTATTAAGTAATATAAAGGTTCCTTGGACATCAGTACTGTAATACCATCATAGTTCATCTGAAAACTGGGATGGCTACTTCAGGACTCATGAATGGATGCTATATACAGTGTGGATACCCCAACAGAGGCATGGAGTGCATCCTCAGAAGGATGGAGCGAGTCAAGGAAGACTGAGCCAGTGGCTCTCAGTCCTGGCTGGCTACATCCTGTCTGACAGCATCGGAAACAGCCTTCTAGGAGAGAAGATGGCAAAGTTGAATGTAAAGGGATGCCTAGGAGTGCACTAGGCTGCTGGGGGGTGGGGAGGTGTACTCTGGAAGTGTGATTCTAGGGATCTAGGAGGACCAAGCGAGCCTGCGTAGGGAAGTGGGACTGAGGTTGCAGTCAAGGCAAGAAGCCCATGTTGTGGGTAAAACCGTGGAGGCTGGAGCAGGGCTGAGGCCCGGAGAGATCTGCACAGAGGTGTCAAGAAAGGATGAGTCAGTTTTCAGATGTTTCTGAAAGATCTGGGGAACTCAAAGCTGATCAGCATCTTTGGTTGTGGCCACTTCGAAGCTCTTAGTGTCAGAAGACAAATAGAAGGGTGCCGGGGGAAGCCACAGGTGAGGGATCTCCTGAAGTTCTAATGGAGGAAGGAAAAGGCAGACCAGCATGGATATAAGAGGGCAACACAAACACAGTGAGTTAGAGAAGCCACCAGGAGTGCTGTGTGGCAGACTGGATCATGAGTAAACCCCAGCACCTGGGTTGTGGATTTCAGCATCAGCAGTCAGTGATAATAGTCACTAACACTCATGATCTCTGTATGGACCAAGACTTCATGTATAGCATTCAGTCCCAGGAGGCAGTATCTACCTTTATGTCTATTCCACAGACAAGGTAACTGAGTCACCTTGAGCTAAAAGTACTCCTTAAGGCTGTGTGGCTTGGGAAGTAGCAGGGATGGAAATTTAGGTCAGACTCTTACTGCTCTAAGCTGACCTCACCCATCCACCACCTTCTCAGTGGTAGATCTCCCTAACATCTTTGTGTCCAGATCCTCAGCTCCTTGTGGGAATAGAGAGAGCTCTGAGACCCTCTGGCCCAGCCTCCTTGATGACTGACAGCCCCTGAAGATAGGGTGCTGAGGACCCATACATCTAGGCCTGGGCCCTTGTGCTCCCTGGACCATGATATGACTGTGCCTATATTTGACCTCATCCCCAGGACAGAAAACTGAAACGAACGACTAAGATCACCCACAAGGCCTTCCTCCCTTGAGCCTTTCGCTCTGGGCGGCTTGGTTTCTGTCCCACTTCTGGGTAGCCACCTGCTGTGCCTGGAAGGGAGCCAGCCCTCCTCTGTAAACTATGTCCCCACCCCGAACAGCAAAACTCTGAAGTGGAAAATAGAGAAGCTGCTAAAAGGAGAAGGGCAGAGGAAACTGACCTCCCTCTGCACATGGCCAACAATGGGTGTCTTGCCCCTGCAGCACGGAAAGTGAAAAAACTGTGGAGTTAGGCAGCCAACGCCTCCTTCATCTTATACATCCACATCCTTACCTGGCTCTGTTCTTAGCTATGCCAGGCTCTCGTTCTCTCTCTCTCTCTCTCTCTCTCTCTCTCTCTCTCTCTCTCTCTCCCTCATTCCCTCATTCCCTCCCTCCCTCCCTCTCCCGCTCCCTCTCCCATTGGCTTCTCTTTTGGACAAAAGTAGATTATCATTATTATTTTTAGACAAGGTCTCACTACATAGACCTGGCTGGCCTGGTTCTCACTATGTGAACTCACACAGATCCACCTGCCTCTGCTCCCCTACACCACCCTCACACCATATTTCACGCATGAGTGCTGGGATTAAAGGCGTGCACCACCACACCCAGCCCCCCAAACAGATCTTTGAAACCCTGGATATTCCAGTTGTGTGTAAATATTTTTAAAATATTTTGCCTGTAGATGACACGCTGATATTCCCTTCTTCCCCCACTTCTTCCTGAATTCGTGGCTTCCTCTGAGTGCTGCCACACTCCACCCTGTTTCAGTGCCAACTGTGACTCACCCTCAGTTCTCCACAAGTGGGAACCCCAGACTGAGACCCCATTCGTGGCACTATCTAGTACTGGGATATCCTCCAGCCCAACATGATCTCAGGGGCCCTCTGGAAGGGCTGCTTCTCTTCCAGAAAGAACTGATAATCCCTCCATAGTGAGGCTGACACCAGATGCCATGATGAGACTTAGTTCTCTAGCTTCATGGGTTTTCTTCCCATGACATTCAGGTAAGAAAGGTACTGGGTGAAAAAGGCCAATGCTGAGAGAAACTGAGCTGGGCACTCTTGAACCCCGGCTTTTCCACAGAGGCACCAGCAAGACTGCAGTAGCGTGCCCCAGATGAGGGATGAGCACTGCTGGAAAACCTCTTCCATCCTCACTGGGTATTAGTTATGAACATACCAGATGCTGGATTACAAGACCAGCATCATTCCATAGCTCCAGGTGGCTGAGTGCCTACTGTGTGCAACCACCAGTACGAAGCTGCCGTACCGCCCAGTTTGGGCTCCAGCGCCTTTCAGCGTGCAGCCCCTTGACCACCCAAGGCTCACAGACGACTCCAGCCCCGTGTCCTAGGATTCTTTCCCAAGCATCTGGATTTTCCAGGACCCATAGTGGCCAGTGCAGAGGGAAGGAGCATCTGCCGAATGGCAGAAGGATCAGAAGAGGCCTTCCATGGGCTTGGCAGGACTGAAGGGCATTCTGCCTCAGCACCCCTGCTTGTCCACAGAGTCCCTGACTTTGCTGGCTCTGATTGGCTGCCTCACACATGACCATAGCGTGATCCACCCCCTTCCAAGCCCTGCCCCCCACCTCCACATGGCAGACCCAGACATCCTGAGCCTCTGTCCCACAGATAGGCTTGCTCACTCTGGACAGCACGTTTGTTCTCAGTCCTCAGATTCTGCTGAGCCAGCAGGACTGGGTAGCCTCCTGAGTGGCCAGCCAGTTAGGATGAGTCAGTCCAAGTAGGTTGGTAGGCCCTCATTCAGGGTCACTTCCTGGGATGGGCTTGCCATGCCTGGGCAGTACGTGGGCAGAACCAGAACCCACTGGAGGAGCTCCACGGTATTGTCCCCTGCACCTTCCAGCTGTCTAAATTAGCTATAACTCGACCTGTGTTCTGCACCCTACTTAAATTATGTGGGAACACAGAGACAGCATTCCCCTCACCTCCATGTTTCCTGGATTCAGCCTGCATTGCCTCCTCCAGGAAGCCTTTGTGATTTCTCAGCCTCTCAGGTCTCGCTTGCTATTCACAGCCTGCTTGTTTAATTTAGCAAGGCCCTGATGTGCGTTTCTATTCTGCTGTCCTATATAGTGACATTTCCACTTGTGTATCCCTCAGCACTAAACACAGAGCCAGAGTTAGACATGAAGTAAATGAGGGTTCAACTCATCTGAATTACGCCCCCACCCCCAGATCCAGGTGAAGCAGCTGCACAGGAAGAATGGAGCTCTGTTCCTGGAGGTCTGTTCAAGAACGGGTCTACCTAGTGAGGGCAGCAAATACCTGATTGATGAATGAATGAATGAACAAATGAATGAATGAATGAATGAATGAACGAACGAATGAACAAATGAACAAATGCATGGAGGATTCAAGCTGTTTTGGAGGGACTAGACTCTTCTATAGTTGAAGTGCATTAGAAAGAGTACCAGGCACATGCTGATTTCTGTCCTTTCTGTCCCATAAAGCCAGCACCTACCCCCCAGGAAACTGTCTGGGATGCCTTGAGGCCCCTGAGTATGGTGTGTAGGGATTCTGCAGAGGCAGGCATGGAGGCACAGCAGGTGGGCAGGGTGACTTGTCTCCTGGTCTGCAGGATGGAGAACCTGTTCATCAACCGCTTCATGCACATGTTCCAGTCTTCCTGGAGTGACTTCGCTGACTTTGAGAAAATCTTTGTCAAGATCAGCAACACTATTTCTGGTGAGAGTGCTCTCGGGGTCCTGGGGATGGGAGAGTTTGGTTTCATGCCTTGACTTGTAGACAGCCAACTCAAGCACCTCAACCTCATCCCATCATCATATGTTTCAAAAATATCAGAACTTTTTTCTTTACATAAACCATTCATTTGTGGTGCTTCTAGACAGAGTCAAGGCAGGACTAAACTGTTTCTTTTAAAGCATTTACATCAAAGCATTTGGAGACTAAGGAGATAGCTCAATGGTTAACAGCAAGTACTGCTTTTGCAAAGGACTCATTTGTTTCCCAGCACCCCTCCCCCCTTAGGTGGCTCATGACCTCTATAACTCCAGCTACAGGGAAGATTTAATGCCTCTGGTCTTCATGGGCACCTATACTCACATGCACATACCCACACACAGACACATACACATAATTTAAAATAGGAAAAACTTTAAAGCAACATTGGGGTCCTTTGGGCAAGAATGTGTTTGGTTAGAACCCTGACACGGCACTGGGCAGTTATGAATGGGTGTGACATGAGAGCATCACTCTAATGAGGCAGGAGTTGTTGGATAGAGGTGCTGAAATCAGCACATGGACCCAGGACTTCTCTCTCCTCTCACTCCATGCTGGGCTGAAAGACCAGAAGTGTTGATCAGAGGGGGTGCCTAGGAGGGGTAGCTCAGGGAAGACCAGGTTTTGCCATGGCTAACCCAAGGCTGGGTAGGGACATAACAGTGGGCATGGCCTGTGAGGGGACCCTGCGTGCCTTGAAGAGGGATCCCTACAGAGAGACCTGCTCCCAGGCAGGGTCAGGAGGGCTGTGCCCAGCTGCCATCTGTGAGGGCTTGGGTGTGCCCTCCTGTTCTCCCTACAGAGCGAGTCATGAACCACTGGCAGGAAGACCTCATGTTCGGCTACCAGTTCCTGAATGGCTGCAACCCCGTGCTTATCCGGCGCTGTACAGAGCTGCCTCAGAAGCTTCCAGTGACCACAGAGATGGTGGAGTGCAGCCTAGAGCGGCAGCTCAGCCTGGAACAAGAAGTGCAGGTAGGCCGGCTGGGCCCATTCTACATTCGCAGAAGCCACTTCCTACTGCCAGTACTTGCTGATGTCAGCTTCCAGTCTGTCCGGTTGATGGTATGAGATCAGCAGCCTCTTCCCACTCCTGGCGCCAGTACTCGTGAGGGTCTTCGGCATTTTGCAAAAGGTCTCACACAGTCAGAGGAGGAACCCACAGGATGTTTCTCCACAATGCTCAACATCTGCAAACGCTGACAGTATTTTGAATATCGATTCAGTCATTGGTGCCGTCTATGTCTACGTGACCTCCCTGAGCCCTTTTCCTGGTCCTCACTTATAGGCTCAACCTTTCACCCAGTTCCAAGGCTAACCTAGTTTTGAGACAGAGTCTCAAACTGAGTCTGCTTGGATCTGATGGGATCTGTCAGGCACTTCCATACCAGATTGCCCCACTGATGGACCCAACAGCCCTCTGCATCCAGTCATCTGCCTCTCCCTACTGCAGCCAGCACTACTGGGCCTCATACACACACACACACACACACACACACACACACACATCTGTGGATAGTAACCTCTCCCCTTTCTGTCTCTTCTTTCAAGGAGGAATCCTGTCCTGGATGGCAATGGCTAATTTGCCCAGTGTTGAACTTTATGTAAATGTAGTCCTGCAGTGCCATCTTTTGGCATTAGGCTTCTCTCATGTCTCTCCTCTAACCTCATTAAAGCACCGCTCAGGTGGTCTTTCAACATCTTTCACGAGGGTCAAGCAGATTTAAGTTATAATAAACCCGAGTTAGTCTTAGCCTGTCTTTCACCTCAGCTTTGAAAACTCTGTATGTAAACCAGTCTTAGGTCCGGAGAACTGAAAACTCTAAATTCTGAATTCTGCTTGTAAGCAGAGTCTAAGAGCCAAATCTCGGGTTCCTGCAGCCTGGACAGGCTGGGCTCTGCTGTCCATCCCAATACAACAGTTAAAGAGATAAGTAATGGCAAAAAGCAGAGAGAAATTTAATCCATGTGAATGTACTAGGGGAACAGATCAAGGGCTCTAGTAAGCCCAAATCCATCTTGGGGCACTGACATGAGCTTTGGGTTTGAATGGAGGAAGAATTGGGGAGGGGACAAGATTTATCTATAATTAAGCAATCCTGGTCAAGGTATGGTCTGTTTGATCATTCTTTGGGTTCTGCAACCAGTCCAAATAAGTCCCAATCACTGCTTGAGAGGATCAATCTGTTTTCTATAAGATGGTTATTTCTGCTCCAAGATATAGTGTTGCCATCCTAGGGTGTGTACAGTGTGTGTGTGTGTGTGTGTGTGTGTGTGTGTGTGTGTGTGTGTGTCCTGATAGTCCGTGTGTGTGTGTGTGTGTGTGTGTGTGTGTGTGTGTGTGTGTGTCCTGATAGGCTTTTGCTCTTCCTGGGAGCCAAGGTCTGGGATGAAGACTTATCTTTGTGCATTCAGCCTTGAAGGTGGGGGGTAAGTTGGGTTACACAGATACTCCTTCAATGTTTAGCGTGTGACTTGCAGAGTAGGCAGGAGTCTCACTCGAACTCAAATGGAGAAATGCAAAATAAAATTAGAAATGCCTGGCTTTCACCCCGCATTTAGTTACCTTCAGACCCAAGTGAAGAACCAAGGCATTTTAGCAAAAACAGTTTCTAAGTTGCAGAGAACAGAGGGTCCTGAGGTCATCGCTCTCCACTCCTCACCTCCCAGTCCTGGCCTGACTCTTGGGTTCATCTCTGCTAAAAGTAACTTGAACACATTTCTCTGCCTCCTGTAGGAAGGGAACATTTTCATTGTAGACTATGAGCTGCTGGATGGCATTGATGCCAACAAAACAGACCCCTGCACACACCAGTTCCTGGCTGCACCCGTCTGCCTGCTGTATAAGAACCTGGCCAACAAGATTGTTCCCATTGCCATCCAGGTGGGCTGCTCAGCTCTAGCCTTCCGTTTGGCTTGGGGCTTGGCAGTAGGGACCCTGAGAGGGGCTTCTGGGACAGCTCCATTCGCTCCTCTGAGAGGCACCGACAGCTCTCCCTCTCTGCACTGGCACTGAAGCTGGGAGAAATGCCCAGTTAGGACTTGACTGCCTGCTGTGAGGCAGGATGTCTGCATCACGAGAGGCCAAAATGGCTCTGCTCCAATTTGCTATGCACTCTTGAGAAGTCCCCACCTGGGGATCAACATGCCCACTCAAGGCAGATAGGGGAAATGAAGAGGTGAGCTGGAAACTAAAGCCACTTAGTTGTGTTAGGCTCCCCACTAATCCTGGGGCACTGTCTACCTGGTGGATTCTTGTACCCCCAATGTTGTGAGGAATCACTGTCCCCACGTTCCAGACGAGGAACCTGGAGCTCACAAAGGCTGTCAGTCATCCAGATCCTGCAGATTCTAAGTGATGGATCTCTAGGGCCAGCAAGCACTCCCCACGTGATCCTTATGATTTGAAAGTCACTATTGATGGTTGAAGTTTTCTGGAATTTCCTGAGAACCCAAATTCTCCCACAGCTACAGTCAAAAAAGAAACAAAATAACGTATTTTCTTTCTTCAATATATCAGCTCAACCAGACCCCAGGAGAGGAGAACCCAATTTTTCTCCCTTCCGATGCAAAATATGACTGGCTTTTGGCCAAAATCTGGGTGCGTTCCAGTGACTTCCATGTCCATCAAACCATCACCCACCTTCTCCGTACACATCTGGTGTCTGAGGTGTTTGGTATTGCCCTGTACCGCCAGCTGCCTGCTGTGCACCCCATTTTCAAGGTACAAACAGCTGTTGCTCCACCTGGTGGGGAAGATCACCGGGGAGAATGGCTGGCATCCCAGGAGGGGGTCCATGGCTAAGAGTGGGCTGCAAAGAGGGATCCTTGAAGAGATGCTGAGGGAGATGGTAACATCCCCAAGGAAGCTAGATGCCCCCAGCACAGGGGCTGTGGTTGAGCCTGATACAGAGCCTGGCTGGCCAGGAAGCAGGGTTTGAAAAGGCAAGTGGGTCACTTTCCTTCCTCCTCCCCAGTGCTACCAGCACTTGATTGCTGGGGTTACTGCAAGCTAAAAATATCTGTACTTCAGTTTTTCTCTTCTGTAAAATAGGTCAAAATAGTGCCCCTGTCTCTTAAGATCACGGTCAGGATTTCAACAGTAAGCTCAGAAAAAATAGTGCTTTGCACACAGTGAAGTGTGACTCTGTTTTCAACACTAGTGTCATTACTACTAAAACATCACAACAATGTCCCCAGGCCTCTGGCAGCTACTCAGCAGGAAGAGTTGCACCCAGACCTTCACTTCTTCCTTGGGCCCAGAGTGACCCTGTTCCCACTTGGAGTGGGGTGGGCTGGGAGTACTGAGGGTCCAGATCCTCTCTGAGGTTTCTCCCCTTCCACCCAGCTACTGGTAGCCCATGTGAGGTTCACCATTGCAATCAACACCAAGGCCCGGGAGCAACTTATCTGCGAGTACGGCCTCTTTGACAAGGTGAGTGTCCTATCACTTGGGGCCTGAGAGCCCTTCCTTGTGGCCTCCACGTCCATCGGAGGTCTGAAAAGAGTGGGTGGGAGACTCTGCTCCTGCCACCAGCCACAGCCAGTTCTACCCCTCCCAGGGCACCACCAGGGCTTCCTATGTCGTCTCTGTCACCGCCTTATTTATCAGGTCCCCTATCCCAGTCTCTGAGATTCCTCCTTAAAACTCACTACTGCCCACCTCACATGATACCTGTGACTTACACTGCCATACCCCTGCTGTCCTGCCTGGGACCTGTGGAGCACTCTGAACGGGGCCTCCCACCTTCCCTTCCAGGCCTTGATGCTCCCTCTCCTTCCAGCCACCCAGCTGCCCAGCTGCCTTCCTCTGCACAGAAACCTGCCTTCCCTTCCGGAGCTGTGCAGTGCTCCATTCACTGAATGCAGTGCTTGTCCTTACCATTTTCTCATGGGATGGGGATCTGGCTTTCTTGCCGTTAAAAAGCCCTCCCACTCCACCTCATAGGACACAGGCTGGCCCTCTGTTTCCAGCCACCCCACTGTACACCAAGATTTTCATGGATGAGGGAGGTGATGGACTCTAGGACTGGACAGTTGGAGAGGGAAGCAGCCCAGCTCAGGTCTCTGCTCTCTCACCAGGCCAATGCCACCGGGGGTGGTGGGCACGTGCAGATGGTGCAGAGGGCTGTTCAGGACCTGACCTACTCCTCCCTGTGCTTCCCTGAGGCCATCAAGGCCCGGGGCATGGACAGCACCAAGGATATTCCCTACTACTTCTATCGTGATGATGGACTGCTGGTGTGGGAGGCCATCCAGACGTGAGTGTGTGCTCTGTTCATGGTGTTAGGGGAGACACTGATATGGCAGGCTGTTGATGAAGGAAGGGACATCATGGGAGTCCTGAGTCCATTAAGGGGTGGAAGAGTGGCTGAAGGGACATCTTGGATACCCACTCTGGCTCACCTTCCTGAGCCAGGTTCACAGCTGAGGTGGTGGGCATCTACTACGAGGATGACCAAGTGGTAGAGGAAGACCAGGAGCTGCAGGACTTCGTGAAGGACGTTTATGTGTATGGCATGCGTGGTAGAAAGGCATCAGGTAGGCCGACTCCATTCTCTGCCTGGGCTCTGTGAGTGCTTCTCATGGTCCTAGGGAACTTGGCCCCGGAGATTGTCTCTGAGGCCAAAGACAACCCCTCCCCAGGTATCCATCTCTTCCATCCCAGAGTGTCTTCCCCAGGCAGCTTTTAGAGCGGGTGGGTTGTGGGGTGTGAGTCAGGACAGGGGTGGGAGCTAGGTGTCCCTTGAAGGGAAGAGCTTATGGTCCATGGCTCCATCTTAGGCTTCCCCAAGTCCATCAAGAGCAGGGAAAAGCTGTCCGAGTACTTGACAGTGGTGATCTTCACGGCCTCAGCACAGCACGCAGCTGTGAACTTCGGCCAGGTAAGTTGGGCACGGCAGCTCTCTGGGTACCCCACAGTAGAAATCTGCCACCCTTTCCTCCCCTTCCTCCCACAGTCCTTCTGCCCTGCTAGTCTTTGGGTGACCTCTGAGCCTGCTTAGAAAGTATCAGGCGTGGATACTGCAGGTCCTCCCGAGGGTGCACTGAGAGTGTCGCTCACCCTGTAAAGGAGAGACGGAGTCCGAGGAGTGCAGGGGACAGGGATAGACAGGGTGGTGAAAACACATCTGGAGGGTGTGGCTGGAGGAACAGGGAAGGCAACGCGCCCGTGGTGCTGCCCTCACAGTACGACTGGTGTTCCTGGATCCCCAATGCTCCCCCAACAATGCGAGCCCCGCCGCCTACCGCCAAAGGCGTGGTGACCATCGAGCAGATCGTGGATACACTGCCAGACCGCGGCCGCTCCTGCTGGCATCTAGGCGCAGTATGGGCGTTGAGCCAGTTTCAGGACAGCGAGGTGAGATCAGGCAGTGCTGGGGGGCCGTGCAGGTCCACCCCAGTTTCAACCCATTCCTCAGCCTTAGAGTTCTGGGGCTCTGACTCAGGCTAGACACCTGCAATCCTAAGAACCTTGACTTCCAAGGTAGAGGGTAAAAGGGGTTGAGGCTCCCCCAGCCCCTAGGTCCTCAGCCTGAACCTTCCCAGAGGTGAGTGGAGTGTTAGGGGAGGGCACAGGTTCTGACCCCTGTCACCAGAGGGTGGTGAGTAAGACACCCCCATCCCTCCCAGTTCTTGACAAAACTCTTCCATGTGGTTTCCTGGGTCCCCACAGGCAAGGGCAGAGCTTCCTGGCTCCTTCCAGACATGTTCTAAGCTGATGTCTTGGTGGACACACAGCCCTTTGCAATGTTTTTGGTGTCGCTCAGAAGGCCAGAACCAGTCCAACTTGCCCCAGACCAGCTAATGTACTGGTTCTGTGTTCAGACTGCCTGGAGGAACCATTTCTTGGTCATAGAGTGTCAAGTTTGATTTACCTTCTGCAAAGGAAATCCAAAATCCTACCATCCCCTTTCCAGCCATCAAAGTGATTTAAGACTCCAGTTACTTAAAAAAAGAAGGATATGTTTTGATTTGTAGACATCTATGTGAGCAAGCAAAGAGCTTGCTACCCCAGTAGGGGGCTCCTCCTTCCCATTCCCTGGCTCCCATGGGTCCCAGCATGCCTGGAACCCTAATGGGAAGATGGTATAAAGCAAGGAGATAGGACAGGCCAGGACCCCACAGACACACAACAACCGCGACTGAGACCCTCACATCGCCAGGTCCCCCCATACCTTTCCTGGTTTTAAAACCCACTTGGCAGTGAGGCAGTCACTTCTGTTTAAAGCTCCAGTGCTGGCACCTTTCTTAGGGAGAAAGGTTGGAGGTGGCGTTTGTATAACTTAAATTTCATTTTTTGATGGACACATTGTAATTTACTTACTTATGAGATCCAATGTGATACACTGACACCTGTATATATTGAATAATGATCACTCATTGTGTCTGACATATCCATCACCTCAAACATAAATCATTTCCTTGTATGAACATTCACAATCTCCTAGTTTTTAAATGCACACATCATTAACTGTTGACCCCCCCTACTCAGTCCTCCTTGGAATCCTCTAACTTGCCTTTCTCCTCCTCTCTGGTACCTGCTACGAGATAGGACTTTTTAACTCACTTAACATAGTGTCCTCCAGGCTCACCTGTGTGTCCCAATGACAGGATTTCTATTTTTTTTTTAATGGTCTAATTCCATTGTGTGTCTATAACTTTCACCAGATGACCAAGGTTAGAGGAAATGGGAGCTGAGTGGGTACCCCCTCCTCCTTCCAAGGGAGGTCACTGGGGTAGGAGAAGGCTTATCAGTTTATGTGATGCTAGCTTAAATTAACATATCTTTCTACATCTGGGCCTTCAGCTCTTTCTGGGCATGTACCCAGAGGAGCATTTCATCGAGAAGCCCGTGAAGGAAGCCATGACCAGATTCCGCAAGAACCTGGAGGCCATCGTCAGTGTGATCGCTGAGCGCAACAAGAACAAAAAGCTCCCCTACTATTACCTGTCTCCAGATCGTATTCCCAACAGTGTGGCCATCTAAGTCCTGCTTTCCTGGGTCCAGCATCACTCTGGAAAAGCCAGTGGCTTTGGACAGCCAAGTTCCAGCTTGCCTGGCAGGCTCTAGCCTGGCCTCCTGGCAGTTGGTGCCTCTTCCTCCAGAACGACAGGGCTACTCTCAGGCCCAGATGATCTGGTTGCAAACCAAAGGCTACTTTAGGGTGGGTCATGTTATCACAAAGCTTCAGTGCCTCTTCCTGCTTATTCCTGTCTGGTCAAAATGTGCAGACACTGCAGGGACCTCCTATGCAGAGCAGGACTGGGTAGCCGCCTCCCTCATGCCCAGCTCCCACACTAAGCAGCAACTGCACATCTGAAGTGATGTCTGTTCTTGTTGGGATGCAGGCTACTTTGTGCTGTTTATGCTTTGTCCAAGTTCCTGCATGAAGTAGGTGCTCAAGGTGACTTCTTAAATAAAAAATTGGTTGTCAAGGTAAAGTTCATTTTAAACATGTCTTATTCCAATCACCCCAAACAGCTCACTCTACCTCCCTCTACTACCAATAAAAAACCAACATTACCCTGGCTCCATCTGGAAAAAAGCCTCTCTGTGCCCCGCCCCCCAACACACACACACACACACACACACACACACACACACACACACACACACGCTCAGGTCTGCATGGAAAGTGCACTGTGGCTCTTCTTTCCCGGCACGCTGCTCCTCCTACTTCAGAACACATCCCAAAGCCCCCAGCTCTGCAAAGACCTCTTTACTCCTAGGGCTTTGTCTAATCTCTGGCCTTTGCTGTTGCCTTCATGAGCCCTGGAAGGGCACCTCATCTATTCCTGTGCCCCAGGCTGAGTCAGACATCAGTATTCCACACTTCCTCATTTCCTTTTGGTAGGGTATCAGACTGATTTCAGACATTGACTTGAGAACCCTCCTGAGGCGGGGTTTGCAATGACTACAAAATGCATTCTTGTTCTCCAAGTCCAAGAAGCAGAGCCAGGCCCTAGCTGGCCTGATGATTCATCATCCCTTCTTATAGATAGACTTGACTCACAGTCACCCTAGACCCTCGCTTCAGAATCACAGGGTCTCCTGATGTGACTGACCAACCACTCAACGTTCACCATGGCCAGTGTGGCATAGAAGGTGTGCATGTGCTCCTGGAGCCTGAGCTACAACTCTGAAAAAAACTTGACTCAAGGGATGGGCCCCACAAATACTGCTATGGTTTGAATCTGAAATGTCCTGCACAGGCATGTTTGAGCTCTATCTGGCAGCACTCCTTTGGGAGGTTCTGAAAAACTTCAGAAAGTAGGTGGGCCCAGCTGAAGACATGAGTGGACCTTTCAAAGTTATACCCAGCCCCTGGTTCCAGCCTGTCTTTGCTTCTGGCCCCTGTGATGTGAACAGCCTCTGCCACCGCCATCTTAGTCACACTACCATTGTGATGTGCTGCTTGGCTGCGCCTCCCCACCACGGTGGACTGAAACCATAATCCCAAATAAAACTGTCCTCAAGTCGTTTCTGTCAGGCACTGTGGTCAAAGCGACACAAAAGTAAGTGATACAGACAAGGGCAGTCAGCCCCCCACTGCCTCAGGCTTCTTTCCCAAGCCGAGAATCACCTGGTACTCGTGAATGACCTTCAAGTCCAACATCATAACCATATGGCCAAGGTAGAGGCACTGTCCTTGTGGAGCCCACATAGCAGTCTTTATTACCCAGAATGTCACATGGTCAAGAAGGGAACAGGAGGGAACTGGAGTACGCAGGAAAAAACACAAGTTTGACAGAGCTACAAGTAGAAGGGAGCTCTGGGGAACATCGGCCTCAGGCTGCACAGCTCTTTTGAAGAAGTCTCATACCAACCAATGGGGAGGCCTCAAGGCCCCCAGCTGCAGAAATCACACATTTGGCAAGATTGTTGGTCTTGGCATTAGTGCCAAAGCGGATCCACAGATACGGCTAAGGCTGTCCATCAACTGTATTCTTCAGTTGGTCCTTCTGGTCCCTGGGACCTGCAGATCATCCCACCTCCCACTGGTTGAGACCCACACAGAGAGCATCAGAGAAACTGGCCACTCTAGAAGGGATGCACTTCCGCTCCCCCTCACCATCCTCCTGCACTGCCCTCTGGGCTCTTTCCAACAGTGCAGAAGTGTGCCAGGACTCTGGGTTATACTGGCATTTCTAAAGCCCCGGATAAGGGCTCATCAATATTTCCTTTTCATTAACAGAGAGTTGGTGTGTTGCTCTGTTTCAGAGTGCTATCATGACAAACTCAAGGTAATGACAGTTTAAAAAGTTTTATTTGGGTTCAGCATTTGGAGGCTCCAGTTCAAGAATAAGTACCCCATTACTTTGGGCCATGGGCAAGGGCTGCATATGATATACCAGGAGCATGTGGTAGAGCAGTCTGCCCACATCATCAGCGAGACAAGAGAAAGAAACCAGTGTGCCACAGCTCCCTCTGATGACATGCACCCATGATGTAAGGCTCCACTTCTAATGGTCCACAGCATCTCTTGATAGTGCCTCCCAAGTCACCAGGCCTTCAACACATGGATGCTTGGAGGAATATTAGGGGCAGCTGGCAAGCTTTCTCCACAGAGCTACACAGTGAACACTTTAGGCTTTGTGTGTGTGTGCCATGCTGTCTATCCTAGCTACTTCCACAACTTTGCCATTATAGTGGGAAATCAACCAGACAGTCTTTCCACAAACAGCCATAGCTGTTGGCTAGATACAAGCTCATTCACAGAAACAAGAGTATGCTTTTTTGTTTTGTTTGTCCCCTTTGGGATTTTTTTTTTTTTTTTAAACTGGGTTTCCCTGTAGCCCCAGCTGACCTGGAACTCGCTATGTAGATCAAGCTGGCCTCAATCTCACAGCAACCTACCTCCCTCTGCCTCCCGAGTGCTCCCAGAAATAGGCTCCTTTTTAGTAGTTTGCTACCTACATATGATAGGTGCCCTGTCTCATCATTGTGGTTGGTGTTGAAGGATCCTGGGGCATTAGCAACAAAAGCCTGCCTGTATCTAGAAAGAGTCCACCTGGTGTCTCTTCAGCCCAACTTCTAACATTCAGATCCCCAAAGCACCCTGAGGTTCTCACATGTGAGGATTCCTCTTTTAGCTCCCATCAGTCGTAAGCCCAGGGGCATCTTGGCATGGCACCGACCTGCTGAAGCACGGTTGGGTTCGTGCATAGCTATTTTCTCCTAATTTAGAGTCCCTTCTGGAAGGAGTATGGAGGGATGCCCTTAAGACACTGGAAGCTAATGAAACTTGGGCTTAGGAAGCTCAGCTAAGCTACAAGATTCACCTCTGCAAGACAATAAAGTAGTAAACAATTGCTGGAAAGAGGAGTCTGAGGTAGAGCCTCGCAAACTGCATAGGCACTCTAGGGATGTAGAGTTCTTGAGTGCTCATCCATCCTGGAAAAGCTTTTTGCATCACAGCTGCCCTTCAGCCACCCATGCTCCCGTGAGTAACACCAGTTCAACTCACTGGCTCATGAAGACAGATGGGGTGGAATCATTTCTTTGGTTTATCGTTGGTGCCTGAGATAAACAGAGCTTTGCTCACATCTCCCTGGGAAGCCATGCAGTGGTCTGCCCCTTCATTAAAGCCATAGCTCCACAGCCTGCCTGGCTACTAAGTGTGCTAGCTGCCTAACATGGAAAAGTCCTTGCCTCATGCCATCTCTGACCCTAGAGTACACAGTAGGGAAGCTGTGACTAGTTCTTGGCCTTCACAGTGCTGTGGGAAGTTTGTAGTCAGAGGACCACTACTGTCCCCCAAAGAATGTTGCACAAGCAAGGAGATACAGCCTGGCAGAGCTGTGACCAGGAACCGTAACTCAGCTGGCCTGAGGGGCAGAAAATGTCACTCAACTATTACTGTTGCCACACACACCCTGAACTTGAAACTGGCTGTAGTCAGGGCAGTGAGTCTAAGGAGAGTCCAGCAGTTTGGAGCAGCATGCCTGGAGACACCTTCCTTTTTACTCTCTCACCTCGAGGCTTCCCATCCGTCCACCACGTTTGAGGGTCAGGCTGAGGACAACCACTACCACAGGCCATTATTTTTTCTTGATGTGTGGGGCTGGAAAGCCTCCCCACAGGAAAATACTCCCATAACAAAAATCCTTTGTTAAAGAAAGGCTTTATTGCTACAATTAGACACCTCCTGTATAGCACAAACCAACCCCCTGTACAGAGAATTATTCAAGTGATAATACTGAGAAACCGTGAACATACACAAAAGGACACAAAACTAGACATTTGGATTACTAAAAAATTTCTAAGACAAATTTAAAATGTGAAGTGCCTTTAAGAAACTACACCACACATGCCAGTGTAAATTTGGTTTTTATTAACAACCTTCTATAAACATGGCATCTAAATGTGCAATCAATCAGTTACATATCTTCATCAATCACTTCAGAAACAAAGACAAACCCATCTTTATTCGCTTCGGTCTTTCCTTGGGCTACAGATACAAGTTGATTTTTCCATCCAGACTTGAAGAGGCAGTACTTCGGTGTGCGTATGCATCCGGCCGTGCCCACAAGAGTGTGGCTCTTTACCCTGCCCATCCCACCTTGTCCTGTAGGCACGACCCAAGACCCTGAGCTGCCCCCTCTCCCACTGCCCGAGGCTTGCACATCTGTGGCCTGATGGAGGTACCCACAGGTTTGGAAACTGGGCCTACGTGACTGAAGAGTAGACTGAGCCAAAAAGGAGAGGCAGAGAGGTCCGGAGTAGGACAAAAACTTTTCTATTCCTGTAAACTCTTGCAGTAAAGTTGGGCACAACCCCCAAACTACTTACTTCTGGCAGACAAAGTGGGAGGTGTGATACTGGGACTACAACATACGGGTAAAGGCCAAGTTCAGAGAGGGATGGCAGCAACACCCCGAGATTGCTTCCTTCCTCTCCTTACCTGACGCACAAGCACCAGCCCTATGCCATTCTCTTGCTATTGCCAGGCTCACACAAAGGAGAAACATAGACAGATGTCCTTGTGGAGCACACAGAAGGCAAGTGGACATGGACTAAGGAGCCTGGGCAGACCTAGAGCCCCTACCAACAGGCATCACAGAGCACACCTTGCCAGTGTCCTACACCAAGTCACCAATGGGCAGCCATTTGCTGGATCAGAGGTGCTGAACTAGAGCCTACAGGAAAACAGGGTAGCCAAGCACCTGCTGAGGGAGGAAGGATGAGGGACAGGCTTTTAGCAGAGGAGCCAGAGAAGAAGGGATGGAATTAGGCCTTCTTGAAATGAGGGGAAGGTGTAGTTTGCAGGGGACCAACATGACAGCCATGGTTCTAAAGGAACCTTGGCTATGGGGGCACATGCACTCTGGGCCAGCTGTGCAGGGACTATCTCATCTAGACATACTCTCCTCTCTACAGAAGCCTCAGTTGCCCCATTGGGACATCACACTTAAAATTGCTATCTTCATCTTCACCTGGCCACTCAACCATGCTGGAGCACAATGGCAGGGAGAGGTGGGCAGGATTAGGGGCCCAGCCTCAGCAGGCTATGGGGCATCGTCAGGGCTAACCTAGGACTCAGCTCCCTAATGGGCAGTCTGTAGCTGCCTGGTATCCCCAGGCTAAAAAGGTATGTAATTGCACTTTGGGACATAGTGGGCATAGGGATGGGCTGAATGTGGCCTCAGAGGGAGAGGGCAGGCTGACCTCAGGGGTCGGCTGTTTTTGAACAGTGGTTGGTGGCTGGAGGAAAGCCCTGGCAGAACAGTTCCACAGACCGGACCCTGTGACCCCAGAAAGCAGACGGAGGAACAATAGGACACAATCTACTTTCATAAGCCCTTATCCAGCCTCACAGACCCTTCAGCCTCCACCTGCCCCTACGAACTATCCACAGGGCTTCCACCGGAAACCACAAAGAATTCATCTTGGGTTTGCCTCACTCTCTGAAAGAGGGCGGATGAGAAGCACCCAAGGCTCAGAGAGGTTGGTAGGACTGCCCGCCTCAGGAGGCTCTGAAGATGTGTAGCCTAATGGCAGTCACTGGAGAGTGAGCTACAGGGGCTCCTCTTGTCATGTTGTATGTGGACTATTTAAACCTAGCACTATGATACCAGCCTTTAAGGAAAGAATTTTAGGCAGACTTTTTTAAAGGGACAAAGGCCATTTAATGGTAGTGATTTTGGTTTTGTCTGTCTTATAAGAAATGGTGCAGAAGTAATCCCTGATGACAGAATGGACCAAATGTAGAGCCAACGGCCCCTAAATGATCCTGTCAGGTCTAGTTTAAGGCAACAATGAGGAGTATGGGCCGGGGAGTAGTGACAGAGTGATCCATGGCAAGTCCTCATCCCAGAGCTGGCCCATCTACCCTCCCAGCCTTCAGAAATGACTCCATAACCTCCAGGCAGGAGGTGTTGGCACAGTGAACAACAGACAGGTGGACCTCAGGAGTGTCCACAGTGTATGTCCAGACTAGATTGTGTGTGTTGATTCCATTTGGAGATACATGTCTGTCAAAGGACTATTTTTAACTATTTAGCCATATTCAGATCCATTAGAGTTCAAAAACCTTCCATTTCAGTGTTGACAAAATAGAATGTATTATGGGCAGGTTTATGAGATAGGACCTGTCATCAAACAGGCTCAGTCAAACTACAGGAATAATGCCAACTGCCATTTACCATCTGTTAATTCCCATGGACTCTGTTACAGGAAAACGCCTCAGATCTGTCTTAAGTCACTAGTCCTTTTTGGACATGGAAAGGACATCCTATTACTCAGAATGTGTAAGGCAAAAGGGCTTAAGATCGATTTTGATGTCAAAGAGATAACGATGGCAGTAAAGGGAAGATTTCTAAACATGACTCTTTCAAGTGTCAAAATCACTAGATACAGGGTCTCTCAAAATAAAGGCTTTCTTTTGTAAAGTGCTCTTTGTTTGGTGAACTATGCACCAGGAGACACAACACCCCAAGGTCTCATCTTCCTGACGGCACTGAGGCAGCACTGACAAAGTGAGGCAGGGTTTGTAGGCACTGTACCCAGCCCAGCTTCCAGCTCTCCCTGTCAGAAGGGGTCCTCTTACCTTCAGCAGATCCCCCACCACTGTCCTCTGGGAGTTTTCTCACTGCCACCAGCCCCCTCCCCGCAAGCTGCTCTGTCTTTTTTTTTCTTTCTTTCTTCCCTTATTCTGCTCAAGACCAGGGGCTAGAACTCAGCCAGTTCCCCATCATGGCTGCATGGGGTCTGCTGGCTTCCCATCCCACAGAGAAGCCCGGCAGTGGGACCCAGTGGTGCCTGTCCCATAGAGGGCTTTCTAGATTTACCAAGGAGGGTTCAGAAAAAGAGGTCACTCTAATAGTGCAGTCTATGCTGTTAAAGGACAGAAAGAAACACAATTGGCAGTAAACCTTCCTTTAGCTCTCCCAGGGCGTCAAGAAAACGCCACCTCCACACTGTCAGACGTGAATGATTCCTGCTGCAGTGTCTTCAGGCTCCACTGAAGAAGAATTTGTGGTAGAATGATACACCCCAGGTCCTTCTTTATTTTCAAAGTTGGGCTCTGTGAATGCAGACTTTTCAAGAACATTCTTCTTGCTTGTTTCTGGACAGTTTTGAACATAGACCACTCTATTATAAGCCTTGAGTCTTTTCCATAATTGTAGGTATACTTTGCACTGGACATACATAAAAAGGAGTCCTCCAGTGAAGCCAACGGCCACAACTACCAGTTTAGTCCAAAAGGGCCACTCTAGGATTCCTGGAAGGGGAGAAGCTCAGTTGGCCCATCATTCTACAGTACATAGGACACAGCATCTGAACTTCCACACCCAGGTTCCCACCCATTAATCATCCTTCCTCAAAAGCAGCAGGAAGGGTTTTCACCACTTTTTACTCTGCTCTCTCTCAAGAGGCAGTTCCTGGAATCTCAAATTTCATTTCTGTGATTGGGCTTTGAAGACACCAGAGACTATCCAAAAGGGTGCTTAGTGCCTGATCCTTGATGCCCTCCCTCCCCAAACCCAGGTGTTCACGGCCTGAGAGAAGCAGAGCCTCTAACTAGAACCATAGCTCCGTGCAGCACTCACCTGTGACCTGCCCCTGCTTGATTTCCTCCGCAGTGCGGTCGATGAGCACATACAAGGACCAGACCACACAGGTGATAGCAATGACATGGAACGTCACTGAGCACATGATCTTCCTGCGCTCACTGGCCGTCATCTGCAACTTCTCCCACTGGAAAGATGACACAAAGAGCATGAGGCTCCGGCTCACAGCAAAGACCTCAGTGGAGCAAGTGCTGTTGACAGCTAGTCAAATCTCCTTCCTTCTCCTTCCCAGGCCACATGAGGTTCCCCAAATATCCAAAACTGTACTCTAAGCCACTTGGCCACAGCCAATTTTCTATGCAATGAGAGGAGATCAGATTGAGATGAGCAGTGAACTCTCATCAGCCAATCTCTGTTCACTTACTCCTGTAAGCAGACAGTGAAGAGCTTGACAAGGGAGCATGTCAGCTGAGACCCTGCTCTGTGTTAGGTCTGTGCTGACTGCCATGAATGAATGAGTGAAGAGGAGGACTGATGATGCCACGACACACTAGGAATGGGCCACATCTATGTTGGAAAGTGAATGGCAGAAGGCTCTCACACTTTGGTCCTCTGCTACTTTGCAGCAACAGCTTGAACTCGATGCTTAAGAGTACCTGGTACAAGAAGCCTCTGCCAGTACCATCTCCTCTAGGAGCGCACTAACTTACTCCAAATTGCCAGACTGGCTTTGCATTTACTGGTTTCCAAATCACAAGACATAAAAGTAGAGAGAAAGAACAAAATGTAAACATTCTGTGCATCTCCTGCTACTGATGGCCACAGCCTCTACTATCAGGATAAGCTGCAAGTAAGCTTCATATATGATCTGTATTATCCAAGCGGTACAAGGCTCATGTGACAGGTCAGCATAGAGTAGGTTCTGGTAGACTTTTAAAAGTAGTTTTCACCTGCCTTCTCTAGCACCTGCCTGCTTTCTGTTGGGGTCTAATACGTAGCAAGATCCCTGGGTTTCCCACGTGAAACAGAACCAGTGTTTGGTGTCTCCTGGGCTTGGATTCTATGACCTATGACATCCACAGTTTGACCCATTCATACCCTTGAAGTGCTCATGCTCACCTCCTCAGTGGATACTTTCCTCTTCAGACCGTCTGACCCCTTTAAAGTCCTTTCACTTTTCCTGCAAAGCCCACCTATCCTTCCAGAATTATCACCAAAGCATAACTATGATGGCCCTCCCCCGGTGAGGCCTGCCCACCAGGACCACTTGTCTCCCTGCATGCCTGACACATTCCACTGCCAAGTAGTTCATCACTTCATTGGCCTCCTGAAATATAAGTCCTCTGGAAACTTATATGTTAACGTTTTGAGATAGTAGGACGTGGGAGGCTTGAGCCTAGGGTGAAAGTCTTATTGACAGCCATACAGCAGGACCAAGGCAATGGCCTGACCGCTGGAGCCACAAGGAACACCTTGTGTCATTTGCTCCCATTGGCAGATCATGAGACTGATGCCTAGAGCTCGCCACTCCCTAATCACCACCCTTGGAATTCCAAATTGCAACACTTAGATATTGCAACAGTCAGAGTCATGTGGTTTCCAGAAATCCAGGCTCTGTAATCTGACTCATTATGCTAATGAGGCATCCTACCCACTATTCTGTGATAGGACGTTAAGTCTGTTATGCTAATAGGACACTAAACCTGTTATGCTAATAAGGTATCCTACTTGCTGTAGTGTGATAGGACGCTAAACCTGTTATGCTAATAAGGTATCCTACTTGCTGTGCTGTGATTGAACCACTACCCCATATAAGTTTGTGCCTTCCTGCAATAAAGCAGAACCTGTGTCACTGAACCTGGTCTCCTGTGTCTGAATGCGGCTCCACTGACACAGTCTCCTCACCAGCCCTGGAGTCTGGGACAAGGCAGAAGCAGCAATGACAGAAGATGGCACTGGGTGGGCAGAAAAGTGGCCTCAGCCCAGGGAGAGTGGAGGAGCAGCCTCAATGCCTGTGAGAACGGAGGAGTGGCACCCGTGAGAACAGAGGAGCAGCTGCCGCTGGCGGTGACCACAGTAGGAGTCTTTTCATTTTTCCAAATAAGATCTTTTGTGCTGGTCACATAGAAAGATCCATGAAACTGACAAGTCTGAACAGGAAGACAGCAGTACCCTGGGCACTTCCTTAACCACTCACTTTCTCCCCCAGCAAATACTTATCAGAGACATGCACAAAAAGACTGGCTGTGCCAAACTAGGGGAGAGGCACCAGTCACTAATAGTCCTACCTGGAGACAAGCAAGTCCTGAACAGTTAATAAGCTAAAAGTTGAGCAAGATGTCACAGGACAGTCTGAGGTGGGGGCCAGATGACTGACACAGGGTTGCAGTGTCAATGTGAAGGGAAGGGAAGCATTATGAATGAAGGCTGAACTTAGGCATCATACCAGAAGCAGCAATGAGCCACGGTATGAACTCCGGCTACCATTATTTTTTTAATTTTTGTTTCAGAGTCTGCTCTTTTTATTATTTATTTTTATGTGTATGTTTTGTCTGCATTGATATAAGTACACCTGTGTCATGCAATGCCTGTGTCAGCCAGAAGAGGGCATAACTGGACTTAGGGTTGTTATTAGCCCACCATGTGGGTGCTAGGAACTGAACTGGAGATCTTTATGAGAGCAGCCCACTCTCCAGCCCCGTAGCTCCCAATTTAAAGCAATGAAGACAGGTGACAGGGTGCATGGTCCCAGAGGCTAACTCTGCCAGCGCGGCTTCTTGCGTACTTTCCGCAGAGGCTTCAGCTTGGTTTCCATGACGAACTCGTACTGGCAGAGCTCGCAGCGGCGTGTGTCAGAGCTTTTGATCCACTGCTGCAGGCAGGACTGATGCACAAAGTGCAGGCTCCCTGTGCAGTGACACGGGGTAATCAGAGGGCTCTCATCATCTCCTTCACAGTGGCAGATCCTGTTACAGAAAGAAAATCGGTCACTGCAAGAAGGGCCCACAGCAGGGAAGAGACACGCTACCAGAAAGTCAGTTCCCCGCAAAAGAGAGTTCAGGAAGAAACAGCAGACTGTCAGCATGGAAGCACACAAGCGCAAACGAGAGCAATCACTACCGCCAGAGTTCCGGCCACATCAGCAAAGTCGATGGCATTTGGCACCAGAGAGGGAAAGATGACACAGAAGATGACAAAACTGTCATCTTTAGGTAAGACTTCAAACTTCTTTGAAATTTTGGGCAACGATGAAGTCATCTTCCAGACGTAAAAGATGTTGGAGGAAAATGTCTTTGTGAAACAAAACCAGCACTCTCCTTTCCAAAATACCAGCGACTTCAAAGATGATGGTATGTGCTTTCTAGCTCAAATCACCACCTCACCTTCACATGCACAATAGCTACACCTTCCCACCCTCTCTTGGGGATTGAGCAGAGAGCACAGCACCTCCTTTCCACCTAAAACTCTCCACAGTACTGTAATTTCATTTCTTTGGGGGACTCACAGCACTGAGAATTATTAAAGCAGTCAGTATTTCCAAGGAAACATGCAGCTGGATGCAACCACTAACCTCAGTGAACTTAGGCTTTTGAGAACAGAGCTGCCTTCCAACAGCTGGAACTAGAAGACCTGTCCTGAAGAGGGCCAGGTTCAAACCTGGCTGGACTCGGGTTATTTGTTTCAGGAACAGGTAACAAACTTACTCTTTGGTTCTGATCCAACCATAAGAAATGCAGCAACAGGCACTGAGTAGAGGGGGCTGGGGAGGCGTAGGAGTAGTGACAGGAAGGGAGGGGTTCAGAGAGCTTCCGGCCAGATGAGGGTGCTGTACAGGGAAGGTAAAGGTGGGCAGAAGTAGGGACCTGCACAGAGGTAGGTACACCTGAGTAGGAGGAAGGAAAGAAGGAATTCTGGAGAGCAGCCATTCCCTCACTCACAGGAGCAAGCTAGAGAGGTGGAGATACTATTTTCTTTCTTCTAAGGCATTTGTGCAAAGTCTATTTGTTTTCAGTTGAGAGGAGTCAGCTTGGCCTTTAATATGTGTAGCTTCTTTACCTTTTGAAATTACTTTCTCAAATGGGACCATTCTCTTGGAGAAAACAAATCTCTAGAGCTGGCTACAGGTGTTTTATTATTTCATTTTCCTGAAACTTCACATATTAAAGCAAGGTAAAGTTATGGACCTTGTGAGGAGAGATGGCCAGATGGAGGTGGTTCCTGGCAAACCAACCTGCAGACATCCCCTGGGGTGGACACGGGAGAGATGGGGGGGCATTTCTCAGACAGCAGAGAAGGACAATCCAGGTCACTGTCCTTCTCCACTGAGCAGAGGGGCGCACGCAGGACCCTGCTTTTCAGTTTGGCAGATGAGGTATCTTCAAAGACGTCATCATCTCCCATTTCATCAGAGCAGAAGCCTGCACTCCCTGCCAGCCAGCTGGAGGACTTGGTGGTATGCAGGCAGCTCGCATGACTCTCCAGTTCATGGAACCTGTGCAGGCTGCTGGTGCTCGAGCCGCGGGAGAGTGAGAACAGGTACCGGAGCAGTTGTCGGCTTCTGGACCGGGTTTCACTATTTGCTTTCTCTTCTAAAAGTGAGATGTGCATGGCCCCCTTGCCAGCCTCCCCCTCCGAGGCAGCTGAATGCTTGGTGGAAAGGGATAAGACATGGGAATGTCTAGAATGGCGATGAGGTGGGCAATGCAGTGTTCTTTTCTCTTTATGACAGAGCCTGTTCATTCTGAGAGATGAAGCTTGAGGAAGTACCAATTTCCCTTCAGAGCAAGTTCTTTCCATATAGTCAAAGCTTTCTGAAGGATCCTGGGTCTTCTCACCCACATCATTTAGTGACTTTGAGAATCCAAGTGTTCTTCTGGCCTTAGCATTCTTAGCAAGCTTCAAGGCCTGGTCCCACTCTGAGCCAAAGGGATTGCTCTTTGACGCCTGGAATGTGTCTTTACAGATAACTGTCACACTGAGCCCTTGTGTCAGAGAACTCTGGAATTGAGGAGTTTTCAAGACAACAGCAGATTGCACGGGACTGTGGTGACAACACTCAGAAAACACTGCACTGGAACTGCATGCAGAACAGTGGAATAAAGCAGAGAGTAATAACAACTTTAAGAGAGAACAGACATCAAAGGGAAGAAGTGAGGCTTGTGTGGCCACTTGGTGAGCAGACAGCACGTGAAGTGGGCTGCTCAGACCAAAGATGGAATCACCAAGCCAATGAAAAACCAAGAAACGCCACTGTGGTCGGAATGCCACAGGTTGTGTCACAGGAGACGTGGAAAAGACTATTACCTGCAGATGTCCTGGTTGGATGGTGTGACAGAAGTGCGAGACAAGGCAGACACCGGGGCCGTTGTGGATGGAGGACTCCCAGCCTGCAACGACACATCTTCAGTCAGTGTTCACGAAGGTGCCAAAGACCCAGACACTGTCTCCTTGTGAATGGCAGAGGGTGGAAAAACCACTAGTGTCCGCCATTGCAACTGCTCCGAGAGAGACATGCGTTAGATCCCTATGAGTGTGAGCAAGACATCCCCAACAGTACTTTTCACTCCTCTATGGTGAAAAGATGGCCAAGAGAGGCTTTAGAATCATAGAACATCATTTCTAAGCTCTTACGATTCAGTAGCCTTTTGTTCCCTAAGCATGTAAACTTAGTTCATATGCAAGTCAAGAAACCAAGTCCTATAAGGTATTATGCCAATATAAAAGAAAGCATGCCCAAGGTGCCAACCTGCCAGCACTTGCTTCTTCGCTTGATTCCTGAGACAACTGACCCCAAGACTGGCAGAGTTCAAAGTGTGTTCCTGTCTGCTAGCCTCACAGTGCCCATGGGCTGGTCCTCAAAACCTTACTGCCCAGTCACAGCTCTCTATATAAAGGGAGATTACACTGGCAAAGGGCCATGGTTCAACTTGGAGTCAAGGAGGCTGAGCAAAGGAGGTCCCAAGATGTCTAATCTTGGAATTTCGAATTAAGGAAAATATTCAAGAAATTTCCACATATATCACAAGAGCTCACAAAGCAGAAGAGGGCCTGGAGAGGTGGTGAGCAAGTCACAACTGGGGAAAAGAGCTAGGACAGAGAGGAAGCACCACCGGAAGAAGGGGACAGAGAGAAGCAAGGGAAGAGCTGTGCTAAGACGAAGAACCACCACCAGGGCCCCCAGCCTCCACCCCTGCCCCCGGGACTCTAGCCTTCAGGGCCCTGGCACCTTACATACAGCCTTACATTACTTACAATGAGGACACACTGTAGTTGTGAAGCTGGGAGAGTTCCCAGCATTGCAATGTACCATGGCTTAAGACCACTAAGGTCTTTCTAGGCTATTGGGATCATGCCGCTCCATTATAATCTAATGGGACCACAGCTATAAATGCAGTCTGTTGCTGCTCAGAATGACACCATATGGTGCATGCCTACAAACACATCTGTCCTTTCTTAGAACAGGGAGCCTAAGCATCTTCTCTGCGCAAACCAAAAAGCTTCTAAAAATAGCATGATGCTTCCTTGAGTAAGTTCAAATTGCTGCTTGCTTTACTCAGGTCCTGGCCTCCTTGATTCTGGGGAGCTCCACCCTGGTCCACAGTTCCAGGCTAAAAACTAAGTGTCCCCCAGGCACTCTGGAACATCAGCACAAAATTAAAGATCTCTGATTCAACTCAATCTTAAGAAATCTGATGCAGAAGTCTCCTGTTAACATGATGCATATACACACTGAAGACACCAGTGTTATTCACATCTGATGATCAAGGAATCCATATTCATTTTCCAACTGAGTATACACATGGACACTGGGCATATTCTTTAAACACATTCATAGACAAAGAAAGATCTTACGAATCTAAAGTGTAGGGACTGGACAGATGGTTTATCAGTTAAGAGTATACACTGTTCTCCCAGAGGACCTGAGTTCAGTTCCCAGCACCCACATCAGGCAGCTTACAAGTGCCTGTAATTCCCAACCCCAGGGGATCTAATGTCCCTGGCTTCCATGGACACCTGTACACATGTGCACATATCCACACATAGATACACACACATACACATAATTAAAAAAGAAAATAATTTTTTTTTTTGGTCTCTTTGAGACAGGATCTCTCTGTAGCCCCAGCTGTCCTGGAACTCACTATGTAGACCAGGCTGGTCTTGAACTCACAGAGATCCGCCTGCCTCTGCCTCCCAAGTGCTAGAATTAAAAGCGTGTGACACCACACCCGGTGAAAATAAATATTTTTAAAAACAATCTAAAGTTTAATTTACTTGGGGATATAATAATGGCATTCCCCAAAGTAACCTCTACCCTACTTCTCAGAATTCATCCTGAAATAAAATGAGAGACATCTCAGGACCCATATGGACAATACCCCCTTTCCCACCCATGTAAGTTGGTCCACATGGACCATCCTCTCCTTTCTCCAGAATCTTTCAGGACAGTCATCACAGGCTCAGTCAACCCCTTGGGCATGAGCTAAGCACATAGATGTATTTAAAAAGTGTCTTGATCAATGTGAGAGATAATGCCTAGCTAGTTTTGAAAACCAGAGAGAACCATATTACTCCTACAACCTACTGACAAATTATACATAACAGATCAAGAAATATATGTCTAGGTAAGGTTTACCTGAGAACAACTGATCTTTGCCCAAGTTTATCTACATGACACACAGTAATTAAAAATGCCAGACTGGTGGAACTAACCTTCTTGGGTGTTTAACAGACATACTTTGAGGTCTATAATAATTTGGTCAGAGGGACATAAAGGACACTTTTGCTCCTTGCCCTCCTAGGTCGGCTAGTTCCAGGGGACTATGAGCATCTCTCAAAATGTCCTACAATGGTGATGGGCCACCTGTCCTCTTGATCAAGGAGGCCGTGGAGATCCCACCAGATGGACTTGAACAAGTGTCCAGTCTATAAAAAGGAGGGTCAACACAGAGGAATCATTTCCTCCATGCTTCCAAGTGAAGCCAACCATGGTTGAGCAGGACCTTTGACTTATCTTCGCATAGGTGGAACTGGTAAAAGAAAGTAGCCAGGGGCTCCTCCCAAGCCCATGTGACCCATGAGGAACAGATCCTCATACGACCTCAAGAGTAAAAATAAATTGGTGTTATCTGGACCAACTGTATGGCCTTAAACATCCAAAAGGAAAGTATAACCAAAGATTAAAGGGGTCAATATAATTTCATGAGTCCATATGTATAGCTAAAGGCTACATAACAAGCAGCAATGCCAGACAAGCGATACCTTCTTTTGAGTTGATGGCCAGGGTGGCCAAAGGGATTCCCAGATAGTACCCCAGCATAGAGCTGAGAAATTAAACAGCAGACCCCGATCTTATCCAAAGGAATATAGACAACTGATTACCGCTAGATGAAGAACAGCTGACCCTCCTAAAACAAAGACCTCTAGATAGGCTGACTAGATTCACCAGAAGGGCAAGTAGTGGGGAATGGCTGGGGGTTCCAACAACACAGAAGACAGTAGCAGGGATATCAGAGTATAAGGGCTCTAGTGGGGGGAGGGAGGCTATGGGAGGGTGCTAACTGGGAAGTGGGTGTATAAATAAATAAAAAAGAAAATAAATTATAAAAAATACAATTTATACAAGTGAATTATGAGTGTTATGTTGAGGGCTGGAGAGAGGGCTCCGCA